TCTATCTATCTATCTATCTATCTATCTATCTATCTATCTATCTATCTTCCCCCCATGACAAGGCATCTGTGTCTCTCTCCTCCTCACTCCTTTCCCTTGTTTCGGGACATCACTCTTTCAGGGTGTCTACGTGGCTCTCTCTACTGGGACGCTGGGCAGTGCTGGCTCGGGTGTGCTGCTCCGCTGGGAGGCCTCGGTTTTTGCCGGCAGCTGGTTCTTTGATCCACAGGCCTGGCTGAAGGCGACCGGCTGCGCTAACCAGATGCCAGGCCCCACTTGTCCTCTTCTGGCTTCCCCAATTTCCCCCGGGCTCCACAGGGCTCTGCCCTTTGGTGCCTGGAAGAGTTGCTGAAATTTGGGGTGAGGCCGGATGCAGCCGTACCAAGTGCTCATGCTCCAGACACAGGAATATCGGGCTTGGGGTGGGTCTCGCTTTGTCCTTCGAGGCATTCGATGCCCAGGAGGAGCATTCATGGACCCCAATACCCTGCCCATCTTCATCTTCCTGTGCTGGTGGGGTGCAAACAGTGTTTGCCTCAGTTTCTCTATGTTTTCAATGAGGCTAAGAGAGGGAAAGAGACAGAGTCACAGAGCCAATAACAGCACCCAGGAGTCCTGGCTCCCGGCCCCCCCAGCCCCCCATGCTCTAACCACTAGACCCCACTTCCCTCCCAGAGCTGGGGAGAGAACCCAGGAGTCCTGGCTGCCAGTCTCCCAGCACCCCTCCACAGCAGTGCAGGCTGGGGAGGGGGAACCCGGGAGGGACTCCCGCAGCGGGGGATGCAGGGGACCGCAGGGTGGGGAAGGGGGAGTTTACAGGCCATGGGGGTGGATCAGGGAGGGAGGTGGTGTTAGGAGCGCAGGCTGGTGGGGGGAATGGAATATTGGGATGGGATTGGTGCTGTGTATCAGAAGGGTGTGCGGGGGGGTGCTGGGAGTCAGAGGGGCATGCAGGGGGTACTGGGTGTCAGATGGGTGCAGAGGGGTTGCTGGGTGTTAGAGGGCTATGTGGGGTGTGTGCTGGGTGTCAGAGGGGCATGTGTGTGTGGGGGTGCTGGGTGTCAGGCCATCTCCTTGCCCGTCCCCAGCTAATCTCCCCCCTTCTCCATTTCTCTCCCACCCCCAGGTCGGCTGGCACCGTGCCCCACGCTGAGGACAGACCAGGTGGGCTAGCGCCACCCATGGAATCGCCCCTGGGGCTGCCAATACGGGCGCCCGCACCCCTCGACCCACTCGGCCTCCAGCCCAGAACCAGGGACTGAAGCCGAGGAAGGAGACACCTGCTTAAGGAAGAAAATCTGTGCTCTGGGAGGGGAGTGGTGTCTAGTGGTTAGAGCAGGGGGGGCTGGGCGCCAGGGCTCCTGGGTTCTATCTCTGGTTCCAGGAGGTTATTGGAGTCTAGTGGTTAGAGCAGGGAGCCCGGACTCCTGGGTTCTATCCCCCACTGTGGGAGGTTATTGGGGTCTAGTGGCTAGAGAGTTTTAGGACCCAGGACTCCTGGGTTCCAGAGACGATCCCCTGTCCCCAGCCACGAGTAGGGAGGAGGGTGCTGGTGCAAGGAAGTCCCCGTTGTCTGGTTGGGTGGGTGGCCCCACCCCATCCCCCTGTCAAGCTGGAGTCCCTGAAGCGCTGGAATGAGGAGAGGGTGGTGTGGTGTGAGAAGGGGGTTCAGATCCTCCTCACCACCGTCGGGGCCTTCGCAGCCTTCGGCCTCATGACCATCGCCATCGGCACCGACTACTGGCTCTACGCCCGCGCCTTCATCTGTAACACCACCAACATCTCCAGCGAGGAGATGCCCCACAAGGACAAGAAGGACCCAGGGGGCCTCACCCACTCTGGCCTCTGGAGGATATGCTGCCTGGAAGGTACCTTCATTTCAGGATCCCGGGCTGGGCACTGCTTTGGGGAAGCTTGCAGCATAGGTGTCCCCACTGGGGCACTGCTGTGGGGAAGCTCACAGCATCAGTGTCCCCATCTGGTCACTGCTGTGGGGAAGCTCGCAGCATCAGCATCCCCATCTGGGCACTGCTGTGGGAAAGCTCACAGCATCAGCGTCCCCGTCTGGGCACCGCTGTGGGGAAGCTCACAACATCAGCATCCC